TTCGTGGAGGTTGAAGCCGACGTTTGGGAAAGCGAGCAAGGCAAGTCACATCATCCTTGAACATATTGGATCCCATTTTATAAAATTATTTTGATTTAAATTATTGCATTATCGCTTTACTTAAATTCCCGCGTTATCACTGTTTTATCTAGCCATGCCTATTTACCTTTGTTATGACCTTATTATTATTGTTATTGATATTATTACCTTGTTCACCCTAGATTAAACAAAACCCCAACTAGTGGACACTCTACTCATGGTACCACTAGTATGAATTTAGGTAGATGCTTCGCTGGTTAATTAGGCAACATTAGGTGGTTTTACAACTCTAGACTTTGAGAATATTCTCATCACCTGGACACTATGAAATGGATGGATTATTGTGGAATTGGATTCACACCTCCCCCTCTATTCAAAATCCTCAAAATGGTTTTAGGCTGGGTTCGGGGTGCATGGTTTTAATAGTAGCAACTCGGCCATATAAGGACCGGTCTTCGGGCCTCTGTTGCAAAGCACTACCGTACTTCCACATGTCTAGTGGGTAAGGCTTAGTTTGTGGCTCAGTCTGGTTATAAACAAAAGTACACGGATGGAGATGGACGAAGTCGGGGGTCGATGGACATCTCTAGGGCAAATGAAGGCTACACGAGCTGCGGCCCGGTAGTCGAGATGTCATGGCACAGGGCCGGTGTCCTGCTGCTAGGGGCTCAGTCCTGCCTACCTGTCCCGGAGGTCCCGGCCGTAGGTGGGGTTGGGTCGGTACTCTTGTCTATGGCTAGGATGGGTTGGAAACTATGTCACATCTTCCGTCCATATACCGTGGTGGTATGTGGCACGTGGTTACACGTGAGGAAGATGTGTCTTGTGGGTAAAGATGTACACCTCTGATCAGAGTATAACCTATTCGAATAGCCGCGCCCTCGGTTATGGGCAAGCCGAGCAATGTACCCAAGTTAGTGTTTTAATTCTTAAAACCTGCTTAACAACTAAAATGTGGAATGGTTGGCCTGGGTTGGCTTGGGACGAGCTGGGACCCAGGGTCGGGTTGCCAGTTCGGTCTGAATCATCGTAGGCCTTGGGTTAAGGCAGGTTCGTGTGGGTTCACGGCCTTCATTAATAATCTTGTATAGCTCTAGAATCGTGTTTACAAAATAGCTTTGAGCAACTAAGTGTCTTTTAATGGTGTTTACTGCAAACCCTAACCCTTTATATTATAACCCCCTTGTACTCCCTTGCATTTATTCTGCACTTGTGGGTGTGTCTTGTTGAGTACGGTGGTTGTACTCAGTCTTGCTCAATTTTTCCCAAACCCAGAAGAGGAGTTCCTGGAAGATGAAGGCTTTGGTGTCTAGCTCGTGCCTGCCGTCAAGCGCCTGTGGTCGTCGCCCTAGTCTTCCGCTGTTTCCCGTTTGTCTTTGTGTGTGCTGGGCCTTCGCCGCCCATGTAATAAATTATTTATTTACGCTTCCGCTTGATAAACTCTGAAATGTATCAATTTTTGGTTTACCTTGCCTCCTGGGACAAGGAATAATACACGCACGTAAGGAACGCCCGTTGGGTTATTTTCGGTCATGACAGGAAGCATGGACTCTCGCAGTACAGCTCCCAATACAGGAAACGGAAAGTCTCCAAGAAAGAGAGGGACGCTCGTTTGAAGGCCGAACTTAAGGTTGAGGTCATTCAAGAACTAGAAGCTAGCATGAACGCTAGGGTGGAAGAAAGGGTTAACAAGGTCCTCGCCGACATGAATATACCCCGAGACACAACACCTGCTGTGCATCCAACTCCTTGTGCACAACACGACGCGAGTCCGTCACAGCATAGGAGTAGTTGTGCATCCACAGAGGTGCCGGCCCCTGGTCTCCCGGTCGCACCACTAGCTGCAGTGGACCACATAGAGGTAATTGATGTTATCCAATCCATATCTAATAAAAAAACCTTTACACGTTCCAATATTAAATTCAGACTTTCACATATGCAGGGCGTAGCACAGTGTGTCCTACTGGCGAGGGTCCACCCAACTTTCGCTCCCGAAGTCGCTGAGGGCATGGCTTTCAAGCCCTCGGTTACAGACAAGGTCCATGGCGCAGACCTGCTAGCTGGGTATGCCAAGGTGTCCATCGATACAGTAAAAGACACCTGGTCAGGCTATCCGCTGCCCGTGCCCCCAATGATGAAATCATGACTTTGGTCGATGCGCGCAAGACGTTCATACAATGGCCCAAAGAAGACATAGTTGTGAAGATGACTCCTCGTCCAAGTCGACCGACGGAGCTTACACCTCCCAAGTCTAAGCTATCAATTGAGGCTCCCCGTGGACCGGCATTGTCAGTACCTCATTCTCTTGGTGGAGCTGATATGGACTTGGCAGATATAGCTCAAAGCTTGGCTCCAATAAAGACCACAAGAAAGGCCGATAGCTCCCCACCACTTGTCAAAGGCCAGAAGCGTGAACGCGGCAAGGGGAAGTTGGTGCCGGAGCCAAAAAGGGGCAAGGCTACGATGTCGATGCCGGTGAGCAAAGCGGGGAAGGTCGGGAGGGCGCCAGCCCAATTTGAGCTAGGCATGCCATTGGTGGAGGACAATGTATTAGCCGTGATGGGTATTGCTTGCCGAGAGCTACATAAGCAATTCATGGAGCTAAGCAATGCTAAGCGGAAAATGAGGGAGTCATCCATAGTTGGACATCACGACCACCAGCCGTTCCTATCATCGCCTGCCTATATAACTATAGGCTTTGATGACCTCTTCGACCTTTTCAGGATCCGGAAGTTGGACACTGGTCTTCTAAAATGCTACTCCTTGTAAGTGCATACCTTCTATGCTTGTGATATGATTGGACTATATCTCCTAATTAAATTAGTTCTAATACGTAAATGTTTTAAGGTTGTATTGGATCGAGAGTCGTCGCCTTAGTAATCAGGTTGGGTTCCTTGATCCATCCATGGTGAACGAGGTTAATTTACGACAGAGCTTCACTGAGGTGGTTGACTATGTCAACCGGTGTTTATGGGCCCATCAAGACAAGGAGTACATCATGTGCGCACATAACCAAGAGTAAGAGGACAATTACCTTCGTGTATATTATTTTTGAAGTTAAGGTTCTTAGTACTAACGCTACATAACCACTGCGCAAGCGACATTGGATTCTCCTAGTCATCGTACCTAAGTGGAGTAGCGTTACCTACCTTAACTCCAATAAGTCCAAAGATTATGATTTCACTGAAATCACCAAGGCCTTAAATATGGCTTGGGGCCCATATGTGGAAAAGGGTGGTAGGCACAAGGAGGGCAAGGACGAACTTTACCATGACACCAAGTTCGCATGCGCACAACAGATCGGAGACCAATGTGGTTTCCATGTGTGCCACAACATGTCAACATTTCTAAGAGAGGTGAAAGATTTCGACCCTGAGGTTGTTGCTAATGGCGAATAAGCTCATTTCAATACCAACATTGCTATTCAAAACGTGCTAACATCTTATTTATTAAACAGAAAGGTAGAGCTGGCCTCAAGATCTCACCCATCAACCCCCCGCTATCAGAGGCGAAGTGTGTGTCTTCATTCTGGCAGAAATAATGAATAAGAAAGGACGTTTTCACGTCAGATAGACTCATGAACTTGGCTAGATAATTTATTGTGATGTAAAAAAGATGTTTTCATAATTTCTTGTGATGTAAAAAAATATGTTTTTATGAAGTGCAATGTAATTTACTTTCATATGTGCAATATTTATGGTAGTTTACTAAATTCTCATCAAATTTGATCAACTACGATTTACGTTGTACTATTTATCTGTTTTCTCCTTTTTTTTTCCTTATTGACAGGTTGTGGAGGTCGAGGACATTATGGCTTTAATCCATTTGGTAAGTATATATGCGGTTATATGAGCAACGACCAAAATTGTGGCTTTCAAGGGGTGTGAATTTGCTGTGCAAAATTGTGCCATTTGAACTGCATATGTGAATGATGTCAATTTTTGATATGGATCTGTGTTGTTGGGGATCTGTGATGTTTGAGATGGATCTGTGATGTTATATTGGGGGGGGGGGGTTGACTGGAATTTATCTGTGATGTATCTGTGTTTCAGAGGGCATGGCTAGCAAATCCTGAGGCTAGCCAATATTTAGCATTTATTTTTTTCTGGAATTAACTCATCAGTAACGGGTCGGAACAAAAATCCGTCAAAGGTAACATCACCTTTGACGGACTAGCAAATAAAGGCCCATCAGAGGTGACCTACCTGTGACGGGCCTTTACTTTTGGGGCCGTCACAGGTAGATCGCCTGTGACAGCTTCTAACTACGGAGACCATCACATCTGACGGCCTTTATTTAAAGGGCCGTCAGAGATGAGTCACCTGTGACGGGTGCCAACTCGCCCTAGACAAGCGGAGACCAACACCTCTAACGGCCTTTTAGTAACTTGCCCGTCAGAGGTGGGTGTCACCTGTGACGGCCGGCTACCCGTCAAAGGTGACTGGACTCACCAGTGACCACTGATCACTGACCATGCGCGAAGCCGTCAAAGATGAGGGTTTGGGCCCGTCACAGGTGACCTTGGCCAGTGTAGTGAGTGTGAACATGCGGATTCCCAAAACATTGTCCATTTCCAGAGTATATATGATATGATTCGGTTTTCCTTTTTTTAGTTTTTGACTGTTGTCCGATTGAAGTTTCTTAGTATGCATTTTTTTCCTTTCTTCAGTTTTTAACAAATCCTAATCCTAATCTAGTTCTATTTTTCTTTTTTCTTTTTTTTTATTAATGTAAGAATTTCTACGCCGTGAGAGCGAACGTGTGAGAGCGAACGTGGAGACTCCTTTTTTTTATTACTTTATAGATATAATAGATATCAGGCCTAATCGAGGATGTCCGAACTAACTTCATAAAATTCTAAACAACGATGTTGTTAAAGATAGAATGAATATATGAAAATAAAAAGGATAGAGTGAATACAATATAATTCTTAATCCCATCGTAGTACTTGTTCGTAGTTCTTACTTCCTTGGGAATACAGTGAAGAAGGTTTGCACCACCGTGCAGATGGTGACAAGAACGGCGGCGACAGTCGCCATCGCCAGCCACGGGTTACTGAAGTGCTTGTGCTTGAGCAACGTCATCCAGTTCCAGACACGTTTCTGGTACCGCTCGTCCGCCGCCTTGCACGCCGCCCTGTGGTAGTTGCACTCGTCGTCGTCCTCGTTGAACACGACGTTCTTGCACAGGTCGGCGAAGAGGCCGGCCACCACCTCGTCGCTGCCCAGGTGGTGCACGACGATGCCCTTCTTGGCGAGCAGCGTGACGTCCTCGGCGGTGCACATGAGCCGGGAGAGGAAGATGCAGTACGCCGTGACGTAGTGGCCGACGCCGGAGTCGGAGCTCGCCTGCTCCATGGCGATCAGGTTGCGGAGCAGGCTGCAGGTGTTGTCGTAGACGTGGAGGACGGGGATCTCCAGCGCGCCGCCTTTGAACTTGACGTCGAGCAGGCTGTGGTGGCTGTGATCTACCCCGCCGCTGAAGAGCCTCTTCTTCAACCCAACGCCGTTGACATGGTACTGCGCCGCGCGATGCCACCGCCGCTTCACCCGGGCGGCGACGTTGTCCGGGACCGGGGACGCAGGTTCTTTGGGGGTCGGCTCGAGTAGCGTGTGGCACAGATGCAGAAGATGGTGCGGAGTCTTGCCATCCAGATGATGAGGCAGTGGTAGATCTTGTTCTTCCGCCTCTTGTATCACGCCCCGGATGAATTTCCCCATGACGGTTGAGAGGGAGGGAACGTCGCAGCCACGGCGGCCTGCGGTGTCGATGGCGGCACGGTAGAGGTCCTCGACGACGACGAAGGGGACTTGGTTCTCGAGCAGAAGCATGTCGTGGGCGATGGCGACGTCCTTCCACCGGTCCTGGCTCCGCTGTTCGGCGCCGCCCTCGTCGGCTTTCTTCAGCTTGTCCAGCGCTCCGATGGACACGAGCAGGAACGCGGCGTCTCGCAGCAGCATATGGAGGAAGTTGGCATGCTCGACGGCGAGGGCGAGGCCGCCGGCGCCGTTTCCTCCTCTGCTCCGGCCATGGCCGGTTTCATCCAAGTAGTAAGTCTTCGCGTCGGGACAGACGCGATCCATCACCGGCAAGTAATCGACGTAGCTCGGGGTGCCTGTGAGGTCGCAGAGGTACTCTACGCAGCGCCATTTCTCCTTCTGCATTGGCCGGAGGTCTTTGCGGTCGGCGTGGTAGGGGCCGAGGGACACCACCATGGGGTCGTACGCGCCGGGGTCGATATCGCGGACACGGCCATGGACCCTTCTGATCTGGCACGGACAGTCGTCGCCGTTGATCGTTCCGGCGTCGGGGCGAGGTTGATCTTCAGTCGTCGTGTCGTCGGGCACCACCATATTGCTGGTTAAATCTACGACATGGAAGCCGCAGCTGGAACCACCTCCATCACCGCGTTCTTCTTGCGACGAATACCTTTGGCCTTCCGCCTCCGGGGCAGCAGGGCTACCATTGCTGGTGGGTGATGAATCATCACCCGGTTCGACGTCGATGACGATCGCCTTCGTGCCGCCATTGCCGATCACTGTCGTTAACTGTACCTAATTAATTATCTTTTCTCGAAAGATCTGATTAATTAATTTGTTCCCAGATCAAACAAGGCCTTTCCTGATCGACAGTATTATCTAGCTTGGTATGCTTGTTGAATTGGACAATATTAATAACCCCATATGTAGTAATTATAATCGGTTTTAGTTTGAGCGGTCGAGCTGAGATACTACGTACATTTCCTTATTAATACTCTATCCGTCCTAAAATATAAACATTTTTAATATAGTGATAAGTCAAATATTTTTAACTTTAATCATTAATTAAAAAAAAATAAAAAAGATCAAACATGTAAATATTTACATTCCTAAATATATCATTAAACAAACTATCATAATATGCAACACTTTTTATTTAAAACATCTCAGTTTCATTAATATTGTTGGTCAAAGTAGCATCTCGAAGATCGTGTCAGGGTCTAAAAATGCTTATATTTTGAGATAGAGTGAGTACTATTTTAGGACAAAATTGACATGCATCTCGGGGTTTCCTGCGTCGTCCTTGTTGCGCTCCTCCGGCATTTTGTAGTGATTTCTTATATTCTTCTGAGCAGCTGTTGCAGAACACGTTCGAATACAACTCGCCCATCAATTTATAGCACACGCTACAACGTGGGGTTCTCTACTTAAGCACACACATGTGATAGATCAGGATGTGACGTAGGAACCTTAACGGCCAATGACGCACGCGTATATGTTTTGACCCAGTTGGGAACTTGGGAATATGAGTAGCCGCGACCTGGCAAGTACATATATCCGTTGCATATATACTCCCTCCGTTTCTAAATATTTGACACCGTTGACTTTTTAAGCACATGTTTGACCTTTCGTCTTATTTAAAAATTTTTGATATATGTAAAACTATATGTATACATGAAAATATATTTAACAATGAATCAAATGATAGGAAAAAAATATAATAATTACTTAATTTTTTAATAAGACGAATGATCAAACATGTTTAAAAAAGTCAACAGCGTCAAATATTTAGAAACGGAGGGGGTACAAGATATTTTGTTTTTTTACAAGTCAAACTTAAGTTTGATTAAGTTTATAATTGGAAAAAATACGAATTACCCCCATGAACTATCTCGACAGTATAAATTACCCCCCTTAAACCACAAAACCAGACATTTGACACTCTAAACAATTAAAACCGGACAAATTACCCCCTTGGCTCAATCCGTAGCTGTTTTGATCTTACGTGGCATACACGTGACACCAACGTGGCAATCTAATTAGAAAAAGAAATAATAAAAAACTATGGGACCACTTGTCATATCTCCTACCTCACCCCTCTCTCTCTTTTCTTTTCTCTGCCGCTGGGGGTGCGGCGGGCACAACGGGTAGGACGGGTGGCGGCTGGAGGGCATTGCGGAGGCGGGACACGAGTGTCGGTTGCCGCGTCTATGGCGGCTGGCAGCATAGGAGGCGGACGGCAGCGAGGAGGGCCGCCACAGTGCCACCACCATTCCTCCCTTTCCCCTCTCCTTCTCTTCCAACTCCCTCCCCTTTCCTGTAGTGGAAGCGGCGGTGGTTCGGGAAAGACTATAGTTGAATTAATAGAATTATCTTCTTTATTTATTTATGCTCATGGTTTATATATTTCTTTATTGAATATATGTTCTGAGTAGTAGATACTTCGTATATTTGCATCATCCTAGGCTAGTCTCATGCTACGGTAATAGTCCAATGACCTTTATAGGTTGATCTAGCTCTAACTTGTTCATTCATAGGGTGAGAGACCTAGGGGAGTTAGTGATATTATTTCGGCCCTGTTTCTTTCAGCTTGGGATTATTATAATCTAGATTATTGAGTCAGATTACTATAAGCTTGATTGTTATAAATTATAGTAGAATAAGCGGTTAGTTGTTTCTTTCCTAGATTATTAGAGCTTAGATTATTGGGTTTGTAAGTCTAAAGAGGGAGTGGGGTGGCATGGTGGGTAATTTTTCACCCAATAATCTAGAAAAAGCTCACCTTAATGAGCTTATCAGATTATAATAAGCTGAGCTCCAGATTATAATAAGCTACTTTAATAAGTTGTCTATTTCTTTCAGCTTACTCCCAATAATCTGGATTATAATAATCCCAAGCTGAAAGAAACAGGGCCTTAGTAGCATAGGCATGGTGCTTAGGCTAGATAAATACCGTTGGATGTGGGTGTGCCCACGGAAAGTGAGGTAGGTGGCAGGTGATGATAGCCATGTCCGTCCTTTGTATTCCTCCATGTTCGGGTATGGCGTAAGAGTACCTAAATGCTATAACCACGCTGGCAGACTTTTGGTATTTCTTAACGACATTACTAGAAATATAATTCCCAGCAATGGCGCAGAAATACTCCTGGTATATTATGGTTACAGAGTTCATTCGCAAGCGCACGGATATACCATTGTAGCATTTCACCCGAGAGTATTCCAAGGTTATCGTATTTATTTAATCCCGTGGAAAGATCATAGTAGAGAGAACCTGACTAATAATTTATATGTTACTTGCAATAACCATAGTCTAAGCAGGGGTTAAGATAATCCAAGGGTAGAGTGACACACAAGCATGAAGCTACTCATTCTCATACTAAAATATCTAAGTGTTAACAGTGAAATTTGGTAAGCCCGGAGTATTCATCAGCTTAGAGTCAGCACCAGCTTCGAAGTCCTGAGATTAGCCGATGAGAGTTATCAAGTCGTCAGTTGTTGGATTCTTGCTATATTCGGTTAAGGAAATTGATATACTAAAGGAAGCTTATCCAGAAGAGACCGAGTTCAAAGAGAATGCGGCATGGCAAGTGTATCTATTAATTAAGAATAGTTTGTTAGTTTTCTTTTATAGTGTGTTTAGTGTCCGATAAGGACTTTGTGTTTTCCTTTTATCTTTAGGAAAGTTTCTTTCTTGTCCTACAAGGACTAGTATCTACCCATGGGTATAAATATGTACACCCGGGGTCATTGTAATCTATGGCTACGATCAATACAATTCGGCGTATCGCCACCTTTTACCTTTTCTATTTTATATTATCATCCGGCGGGACTTGGCACCTGATGCAGGGCTGCATCGGTGTTCGATCTCCGGCGAAGGGGTAAGTCCAATGTTCCGCCGGTCCAGGCAATTGTATCGTCTACGTTGGTGTCGTTTAAGGCTGCATCGGTACATTCGACCTGTTGGATTGCTCTAGTTTGGATGATATATTTGCCTACCTATTTATCATATGTCTCTGTTAATCTAGTCTTAGCATATCAATTTAGCTCTATCGGCTGCTTCTCGTTTTAGGGTTTATGCCGGTATCAGCTAAATCGTGTTGCTAGATTAGATTAGCTTAGACATCTACCACCCCGAAAACTCAGTCAACGGCTTGATTGTCTAGATATTATGTTTCTTTTCATACTTAGTACTGCATCAGTTAAGTTTGATCTACTAAGTCATGCTTAGAACCATAATATCTAGCATGCTTCTTGATTGCTAATAAGGGTTTCATCGGGGTTTCAGCCGATGAGTTATCTGGACGTTGCTTCGGCTTAAAAGGATTGTATACATATTGGATTTAGCCGATCGCAACAAAGGTTTCATCGTTTAATCTAATCTTGTGGATTTTATGACATCAGACCTACAGCCGATGTATGCTTTAACCTTCAGATCAGTGCTTATTCTATCATATCATTATTAGCTGACTGGTTTCTACTGGATTATATTGTTTAATTATATCGATTATCATCAGCCGATTGCCTTTATATCATCATCTACATTGGACATAAAGCCGATAGCTCAGAACCCTATCGCTATCGGCTGGCATCGGCTATCGGCTGGTATCGGCATTGGCTGGAACTACTCCATCGGCTTGTCAGCCGGTCGGCTGTTTTACCTGCTGCTTACATATCTTGTCAGTTGCAGGATCAAACTGACTGGCACGCCCGCATCTCACCAACCTTTGGACCTGCACAGGAGTTAAGCAGATTTCCTAGGCCAGTGTGTTCAATTTTTTCGTCAACACTAAGCTAAGTGGAAAGAAAATAGAAAGAGAATCTATTCCTATACTTCTAGTATACATAGCATACATACATCCTAGTTATCTGATATACTAGCTAATACCCTCTATCTAATGCCCTCCTGGTACTTTGAGAAGCCACCCCTGACTATCGAGTTCATTACGACAGCCCGTCATGACCATACAACCGGGGCTAAATACGGAGGAGTACCCTCCCCAGGAAATTAACTTAGGATAATATACACGCTGTTAACAACCAAATTTGGTAATATCAGTATCGAAGATGAAGATTAGATCAAAGTGGAATCAAAGACGAAGATCGTTTCAGAAACAGAGTAAGAATCGACTGAGTCCAAATCGGCTACGATCAGGATCGACTGAGTTCGAGTCAGACTAGGTAAGCCGATATGGCCAATTCCGACAATACGACTCGGTATACGTCAGCGGGTCGAGTTGATATGCTTCAAGATGATTTCCATGCATGGATAGAGTCCTGAGAAGGCAATTGTATCTATTAATTACGATATCTTATGTAATTTCCTTAGAGATATGTTTGAGCAAAAGTCTGCCGCAAAGACTTATGGTATCTTAGAGTTTGTTAGAGATAAGAGTCGTGTCCGATATGGACATGTTTTGTAATTCTCGGGTATAAATAGATCCCAAGCCCCATGTAATCAAATAAACACACGTTCAATACAATCTCGGCGCATCGCCACCCTTTTTATTTTCGTTTTGTTTTGACGAGTTATTGCTTTCGGGTTGAGCTGTATCGGTTTCGATCTTCAACAAGAGGTAAAACTTGTTATGGCGGCTTGCGTTCTCGAGATTAGTGCTTCCATCTTTATGATACTCTAATCTTGTTTATGTAATTCGTCGAGTTATCACATATCTTACATAATCTTCGACAATATCGTCATCTAATCTATAATCGGCTAACATCTGCTAATAGAGGGCAGCCGATTAGGTAAAATAACGATGTTGGCTTAGATTATATAGGATATCTACCACTCTATG